ACACCTTTAATTACGAGATAATTCTCAATGTAACGTAGACGAATTTCCTATTTTTTCTTTTTAAAACAAAAAAAAAAAAGGTAATGAATTATATATATATATAGATAGATAATCTTTTATATCAATGATAAGAATTAGGTCGAATATGATTGAAAGATAATTCATATTATTGACAAAATAAATGAATTTTCAAGTTTGAGAGCTTCTTTTAACCCAAAGTAAACCAAAAAATTTGACTTCGTCGTATATCGAACGTACGATAATAATATTTTCTATTTGCATTAGCTCGACTGACTTCTTAAGTTTAACAGTTCCTTTTGACAAGAAGAAGGAAAAGACAAGCTGTTCGCTCGTTTATCTTTCCCACAGACGGACCCGGGAGAACGATAACGCTTCGCTTATCGACGCTTCCGCAAATCGATTAGGTGTGAGAACGAGAGTGAGAAGGATAGAGAAAGAAGACAGAACGAAGAAGAGAAACAGATAGATAGATAAAGAAAGAGAAAGAGAGAGAGAGAGAGAGAGAGAGAGAAACTGAATGGTGAGTTATCGTTGTATACGAATGAGTACGTGTGTATGTATGTATATATATATATATATATATATATATATATATATATATATATATATATATGAATATGTATAAGAGAGTGCTGCACAGAATGCAGCAAGCACAGCGCGGCTTCTTCTTTCTAGAGCTTAACGATCCAACCGTGACTCTAAAGTACTCATACATATAAGTACATATGTATGTATCTGTGTATCTATGAGATATGTTAGCTAGTAAGCTTTAACGATATTAGTAGGGTCGTAATTGAAAATTCCTCCATACTCGTTATAAGAGACAGGTACATATATATTAAAATAAGTAAAGAATTTAACATTCTTTCATTTATATGAAGCATCGTTTTTTATTTTTGTTTGTTTATTCTTTTTTTCTTTGATTTTTTTTTTCGTGTTTTTTTTTTTTTTTTTTTTTTTTTGTTTTTTTGTTTTTTTTTCTATCATCGGAAACTTAATTGTCAAATAAACTATAACTACGATCGATCTTTTTTATCGATCCACGATATTATCCTATATCGATGAAAATTTTTTTACTATTATTCAACTTTTGTCTATATATACTATATATATATAAATATATATATATATATATATATATATATATATAGTAGAGAAAGAGAGGGTGGCATTGTGTATCTCGGTATACTCGCGGGTCAAACGGGAAGGGCCGATCAAATCGATAATTGGAAAAAGGCTCGTTGTCACGGCAAACCAGTCACAGATATCCATTTATACATACGTATATGGAGCCGCGTTGATAAAGGGCTTATTCACGGAGCTTCGAAAGATTTTCAAGAGACAATGATCGTGCGTGGGCCTGTCGACAAAAGTGAAAGCGATAAAATTATTCGTTCGCGCGAACAATCGGCGTAAACGAGCGCTTCGATTTTTACCACAACTTTTTATTCTTTATATTTCTCTTTCGCTTGTTTTGTTTCTTCCTTTATTTATCTTTTTTTTCTTTTCTTCCTTTCTTTCTTTCTTTCTTTCATTCTTTCTTTCTTTCTTTCTTTCTTTCTTTCTTTCTTTCTCTCTCCTTTTTCATTTTCTCTTTCTTTTTTCTTCCTTTTCATTTCTTTTCTTTTAAAATCTTCTCCGCGAACGAAGAAAGATGTACCATAATAGGCATCAACAATTTGACTTTCAAAATGATTTACATTTTTCGATAAATAAATGTAAATAGATTTTTTTTTTTTTGTTTTTTTTTTCTTTTTTTTTTCTTTCTTTTTTTTTTTGTTTTCTTTTTTTTTTTTTTTTTCTTTAATATTTTATTAATTATCAAACGATCTGTTGAGTTTTAATGTCGTCCGTATTTATTGTGTATTAATGTTTAAAAAGAAAGAACTTAAAATAAAATAAATAAAAAAGAAAAAATTATACCAATCGATTCCTTAGGGTTAAGACAATGATCGGGAGGAAGGGAGGGTGTGGGAGGAGAGCAATGACTAAAAGCTAAAATCGAGGAAGTTTTCAAACGGGTAACGAAACAAACGGAAGGTCGTCTCTCGTTTGAGACAGGCGAAGAAAGGTCGAAGGGCAAGAGAGGAGTCCGATATTGCCGTTTGTACACCCGAGGCGAGAGGACTCATATCGAGTCGACGACAATGTTCCCCCATAATGTCGACAGTAGAGCATTGTCCGCTATTGCCGTACGAAGAAGGATATCTTTTGCCAGTCGCGTGCAAGGATCGCGCAAACCACCCTTCTTCGTGTGTGCGAAGCATCGAAAAAGAGACGACCCTCAACGAAAGAGATATGTACCTTATCCTGACGGACCTTTAATTGTTCCTCTTATTTATTTTCACACCTACACACACGGGATACATTTATATCCCCCTTTTTTTTTCCTTACACATCTCAAACTCATTATTATTTCTCGTTCGCTATAAAATTGATAAAAAATTACGAAGTAACGATTAACGATTCAGAATAAATATTATCAATTTATTCATTTACTCTTTAACGACATCGATTTTTCAAGAACCTAACATTATCACGATCTATTTTCATATAACATTTGTAAATTAATTATAAGTTCTACGAGAAATATATATGTATATATTATAGATATTAATTTATATAAGATCGAACATAATAATGGAGAAATATTATATTATATAACGATTAAATGAAATCTAGAATGAAATTAGAAAATATTATTAAATATTATTAAAATGTTTAATTATATTAATCGATTTTCAAATATATTTTAATTGGAACATTTATTATCGTTAATGTGTGAAAAAGTTATATTATTGTTATATCGAGAACTTTCAAGACTATTTTAATAATCAAATACAACCATTAACGTTCCTATTGTTTGACGTTTCGTTATCCGAGTGACACAATGGTAGGATAAGAAGTAAGATCATTGGACGATCTCGAAAGGAAAGTCGTTGCAAGGTACGCGTGTGCTCGACTCGAATACATATCGCCTGTCGAATCAGCGATCGGCACCGGTCCACCAACGAAGGGACCATTCCTCACAATTAGCATCGATTCACGTGACGTACCGTCCATACAACACGTTCGTTTCGTTCGTCGCGTCAGAATGATCGTACCCATCATCATGGATACGCTAGCGGACCCTCAACTTGGATAATTATTTTCCGATTATGATTGATAATCTTTGAGAATAAGAGAGGAAGAAGAAGATACACGAGGCGGACCACGTTCCTCGAGGTTATCTATCAACTCGAACAAAACCGTCGAACTAATAAGCTCTCACGCGATGATGCTTTTACATCGTCTCAAACGCAAAAGTTTTATTCTTTTATTATTGAAGAGAGGAAGTAGATACATATATCTATATACATATGCAGATAATAATATCAATCGTATTAATAATAAAATATTTAATGAAACGTTTGTTTATCTTTCTTTCATTCTTTCTTTCTTTTTTATATAATATTATCGTCTTAATTCACGATCAATTTTTATATTTAATCTCTTATGAAACTTTCAAATTTTACAAACTTCTCGATAGATTTTAAATCATGTTTTATTTCGGCCACAACATCGATTGCCACATACTCGAAGGTTAATGTATGCTAAATATGAATTAATCGTATAGTAATTTACTTACCTTCTATATTTCTTATAGAAAAAAAAAAAAAAACAAATTTATTACTATCAGTTGTATAATGTCAAATAAATTTTACATTATACGAGTTCTTTATTTTCTTCTCCTTCTTTTTTTTTTTTCTACATCTTTACGATACGAACAAAACTTTGATTATACGAAATATTTCGTAATAATTATGTACTATCATAAATTATTTCTTTCTACACTTCGGATTAGTAATAATTATTTCTAACGTTATTAAGGGAAAAATTAATTAAGAAAAAAATAAAAAAAATAAAAAAATAAAAAAAAAAAAGAAAAAAGAAAAAACAGAAAGAAAAAAAGAAGGAAAAAATATATAAAAACAAAACGAAAAGATAAAAAGACGAAAAGGCAAAAAAACAAAACGAAAAGAAAAGAAAAAGAGAAAAATAGAGAAAAGAATAACGGGTTGAGTAAGAATCGTACGATGAAATAACGCGAGTCGATGTATGTACGTGCGTGCCGCTCGTGCGAGAGTGGTTGATCCTTCCAACCTCCCTCACCACTAACCCTCCTCCCTCGTAAACCCCCATAGATACATTTATGATATATTCCAGTCACACGCGTCCACCACCGGTGGTGCCCTCCTACGCGCAACGTATTCATCGTATGTAACTCGAACGGGACTCTATAAAATACTACCCTTACCCCGATTTTGTTCAGCCGAATAACTTATTGTAGCCTGCTCTATTTTGATACGGCAACGGCATGCACGCCGAGCGACCGCGTACGCTGAATACCGAAATATCATGTCTATGTATGTACGATCAAACAAAGTGGAATTCGATTTCGTCTTTCTCAAATGTCAGGTGTTCTAAAACTTTGACGAATGCCTATGTATTCTTATTTATATATATATATATATATATATATATATATATATATATATAAATATATATATATCGTCAAGTCTCAAATATCTTTCCATTGATTCATCGTCATTATAATTTGAATACGTAACTATAATTTGAATAAAATGCAAAATACATATCTAAACGATATATACGAACGACATGTTTATATGTTTCTATATATTCTCCTCCTATATTAAAGTTATATATATATATATATATATATATATAAATAATATCAATTAGATTTAAACCGCTATAAATTTATTGCTCCTATTATTTATTGCTCTTGTGCTCCTACTTTTTTTCTCTTTTTTTTCTTACATATCAAATATTGATAAAATATCTGTAGTTATTTAAAAATTTACTTATATTAAAATTTCTATAATATCCAGACAAAATATAAACGAAAATAAATTTAGATGTTAATGGTGGGTATAGGAGGAGGAGAGTACTACTAGTTTCTGTATTTTTTTTTACTTTTCTTTCCTTTTTTTTTTTGAATTTTCGAACAATATATATATATATATATATATATATGTATGTGTGTATGTGTGTGTGTGTGTGTGTGTATGTAGGTAGGTACTTGTGATGATGAGACTAGCTAGCCAAGCTCTGGCTGTGAACGAAGAATGCTCGGCAGGACTGCGCGATAAAAGGACAACAAAACGACGTAGAGCGTCGCGATTAACTGAAACAACCGAGCCGACAATGGAGTAATCAGCGAGCTTTTCGACGGCCTGCCTTCTCTACCAACTCGTCATCCTTTCTCTCTCTTTCTCTTTTTCTCTCTCTCTTTCTCTCTTTCATTTTCTCTTTTTCTCTCTCTTTCTCTTTCTCTCTCTCTCTCTCTCTCTGCTCTCAAGCACCGTCCCATCGCGTAGTCGAAGCTGCCGTTGTTGTCGCTTCAGCAATCGCAACGATGATGCTTCGTCCATTGTCGAGAGCTATTGTTTTCTTCATTGTGCACATGAACTGCAGCACAACCCTGGCCTAGTACTCTCTCTTCCTCTCTCTCTCTCTCTCTCTCTCTCTCGCTTTCTCACTCTCTCTCAGTCTCTCTCTCTCTCTCTCGCTTTCTCACTCTCTCTCAGTCTCTCTCTCTCTCTCTCTTTTTCTCGTTTTTTCAAAGATGATTTTTGTCAATTGAAAATCACCAAAAAAATTCTAAAGGCTCCATTCTTTTATTCGAAAGGAATGATTGTCTATTTTTTATTGTTAAATTTAGAAAATACTCGTTCATTTAAAAATGAAAAATATACATATATATATATATATATATATTTACACATATACATATTCCAATAAAGGAATCTGTTCTATCGACTTTGAAGAGACACGTTTGCAAGACGATATTTCGAAAGCAAGAAACCAAATGATGAGACAAGGAAGCTGGATTGTTTCATTGATGAGCAAGCATTCAAGGGCGTAACAGGGACTAGCAAGAGAGAAAGATAGATAGAGAGAGAGAGAGAGAGAGAGAGAAGAAGAAGGAGAAGGAGAACGATCACGCTACAGCGTTTGCAGATCCGCCGACAACCCTCTTTCGAAGCACGCTGCACGATGAATGGTATAATCAGCGGTCGTGTGGCCACCCCATTGCCAAAGAGAGGAAGATAGCCGATAATCCTGAGAGAACGAGAAAGACAGAGATAGAGAGAGAGAGAGAGAGAGAGAAAGAGAGAGAAATATCTTCTCTCCTACTTGTTCTTCTGCTTCACGCATCAATTGGATTCCAAAAGAGTCCAAACGATTTTGGAAAATCACTTACAACCACCCTCTGACACTTACTCTCTTTTTTCTCCTTCCGCCCCCCCCTCTCGCTGTACCTCTCATTTTCTCTTTCTCTCCTCTCTCTTTCTCTCATACACATACACTATTCCCTTTTCACCGTATTATCTCACCCGTAAAAGATCTTATCTGTCCACACGAGTTTAGATCTCTTCTAGATAAGGTCACCCTCCTCGAAAAAGATTTTCTCTTTCCTTCTTTTTTTTTTCTTTTACACTTTTTTTTTCTTTCTCTCTCTCTCTCTCTCTCTCTCTCCATCATGGAGCTAGAAAACGATACAGAGGACTAATTGAAACCACTCGTATACATTTACTTATATATACATTGAGAGTCATAGAAGCGTATCGGTGAGAGATCAAAAACGAGGTTCCCCCTTTTCCTATTTCACATTTCGAACAATAAAATTCATGCAGACGCCTGTCCTTCCTCCCTCCTCTCTCTCGCCCCTCCCAACCCCTCCCCCTCTGTTCCTAACACTTTCGATCAGGCGGGAAACGCTTAACGAGGGTACGATAAAGAATTTCATGGGATAATGAACTCTGAAAATATATTTCGGTTATTATTGGCTGTTGGTTGTTATGTGGGGTATCGACGAGGGGTTTGATTATTGCTCGATGAAATTTTTCATTTTTCATGAAATATACGTTTTTGAATGGTCTTTATAACATACTTCATGAAGCTTTCGAAGCAAGCCGATAAAATGCGTGTTTTTAGTCATTAGAAAAAAAAAAAAAAAGAGAAGAAATTAACGAAGGAATAGTCAAAAAAATTTTTTTTCCCCCCCTCAAAATAAAAACGATATTAACAAGCAAACTCGAAAGGCAAGTCTGAATATTATTTGCCGCGGGGATGAATGTATTCGCACTTTCCGGAAATTTGACTGCTGACTACGGACACTGCTTTATAGTAGATGGTTTTCTCCAGCATCGGAGACGTTACCTCTTGCGAGCGGTCCCTCTCTTGTCTCCCCATTTTATACCTATACTCTCTTTATCGCCTTATCACTCGAAATGTCTTCAGCCTCAACGGTAGAGCACCCGGCCCCGGCTCCTCCCCCTTTCTCTATCCCTTCCCCTCCCCCTCTCATTCTCTTTTCCTTCCTCCCCTCTTTTCGCCGAGCAATCTCAATCTTTACGGCAAGACAGCGCCAGCTCTGATAACATTTATTACACGAACCGTTTCTTTGCTCGAATCGTACTGATGACTGTGAATAAAGAAAGAAAAAAAAAAAAAAAAAAGAAAAAAAAAACAATAAATAAATAAATAAATAATAACCTTTAAATATCAAAAGAACAGGTAAGAGGTGTTATCTAATTGTGTGCGGATAATTTCTATGTTAATGGGGAAAAAGAAAGAAAAAAAAAAAAAAAAAAAAAAGAAAAGAAAAAAAGATAGAAAAAATAGGAAAGAAAAGAGCAGAAAAAAACGTAAGTACTACGAAATATATATAAACGATAATTGATATTGTTTCAAATTGGTCTAGGTCGATGGTTAAAAAGTGAAAGAAAGGTCGAAAAAATGGTCGTGGTTGTAGGATAATCTTCTGTAGGAGAAATGCGGCCGCACGAATACTCGAACAAACGTGTCTGAGATAGATCCATTGAGCTAGTTGCAAAAGTGTTAGAAATAATGGATAAGAGAAAGAAATGAAATAGGTTGGAGAAAGAGAGAGAAAAGAAAAACCCCAGGATCATGTCTAAAAGAATATACGTGACTTTATCTGTATATTTCTGTCTGTATGCGTACGTGAGAGAAAAAGAGGAAGAAAGAGAATGAGAAAAAGAGACAGAGAGAGAAAGAGAGAAAGAGAAAGAGAGAGAAAGAGAAAGAGAGAGAGAGAGAGAGAAAGAGAACGTTCCTGGTCCACCTGTTGCATGCGTCGGTATTCTCGATTCGCCATGTCAACGAAGGAGCCAATCGTGGGTGTCCATTAGCCGTGCACGATGGTGGGAGCAGAAGGATTCGTCTGGTTGGCCGTCGGAACGAACTTTTCCCACGTCCCACGGGAGTCGGGCCACTCGACGCTCAGCGGATCCCGCGGATTCGCCCCGGACTCCTCTCACCACCGGCAACCTACTCTCTCACTGATCCTGCCACAGTCCTTGCCACGCTCTCGCTACGATCCGCGATTGTCTCTCGACGTCTCGCATTTCAAATTTACCTGTCGTCCGTAAATTTCGTTTAGTTAATCATCCTGAAAACTCCTTAGGACACTTGGAATGATCATCGTCTTTGTCGTGAAGTGGGAATTCGTTAGAAATCAAATTGAACTTGATTGATCATAAAATTGTAAAAGAGATATTATTATTGAACGAGAGAAATTTATTATATATTTCTCAAAGAAAGTTCGTATGTGTTTAGAGAACGTTAGTGGATATCGCGGTGGGATCGACAAAAAAAATCGATATGGATGCGTCTAAGAATTTTTTCGATGGGCGCATAATTTGATTTCTAATTATTAAGAGGAAAAAAAAAATAAAAAGCAAGAAAGAAAAAGAAAAAAGGGAAGATAAAAAGAGAAGAGAGAGAGAGAGAGAAAGAGAGAGAGAGAGAGAGAAAGAGAGAGAGAAAGAGAGAGAGAGGGTGTTTGTGTTAAAGTTTTTTCATTTAAATGCAACGAAAGATAACCGCCAAAATGTGCATCGATTCAATTCAAAGTTGTTAAGTTGTTACGCGTTTCGAGACCGCGATTCGAGTTACGCGGGAATTCGAACGGACGAGGAAATACCGTCGGAATGTCGTCGAAAACGCTTCACAACGAGCACATTAAGAGGCCGATGAACGCTTTCATGGTATGGTCTCGTGGACAGCGACGTAAAATGGCACAGGAAAATCCGAAAATGCATAACTCCGAAATTTCTAAACGACTTGGAGCAGAATGGAAGCTACTAAGCGAAAGTGAAAAGCGGCCCTTCATAGACGAGGCTAAGAGATTAAGGTAAGTCTCTAAGGAACCAAAAAAAAGAAAAAACGTATTATTAATTAAAATAAAATTGAAATTCGCTCGAATAATACCAAAATTAAAATTATTTATTAATACTTTTTAATTGGAAAGAAATAAAAAAATTTCCAATCTTTCTTTACGAATAGAATTTTGAAAAGAATATTAAAATGTTTTTTAATACGTACAAAATTATAATTTAATTTAGCTTCCACACTTCACGCGCGTACGAGCGTACGAGCATACGCACATGCAAATGTACGCACGCGCACGTTTAATTTACAAAACTTACGCAATATAATTTTAAATCGATTGATAAAAAATGATAAAGAATTCATTGGAGTCCCTCTTGAAAATCAAATCGATTTCGACTCTTCTATTTCTATTAGATCGATCCTCGCTGAAATCAAGCGAGTACAATTAAAAGATTAGGTATCATTGTCGAATCAACGATAGGGTTTTTCTCTACCGAATCTAATTGCTCTTTAGACATTACGAACACTTCAGCGAGATGATCGCGTTGAGGCGTATCTCTGCAAATTCTATGGGGGTTGAAAAATTAAGAAGGGGAACAACCTCATAGTTCATAATACTGTACATTGTTGCTAAAGCTAAGGGCGTGCTACGTTAAGCTAGAGGGTTGAACCAAGAGAATAATAGGGTAGTATTTACAGATGAGAAAAGGGAGAGAGAGAGAGAGAAAGAAAGAGATAGAAATAGAGAAAGAAAGAATGCACTTAACTCTTTATTACCGACCCTGAATATTTAATAACTATTATGAGTTTATTTAGCTATTGGAGATAGAAACTCGACGAATTATTGATTTTAGATGTAACACGAATCTTAAATTACTCTAATGATGTCTCTTGTGCGACAACGTAAAATTACATAACACCGATTCTCCTTGCATAATGAACCTCCGAAAATTTAAGTAATCAATTCTCGAAAGTAAGATCGTTTTATTGAAAATATTAAAACTTTCATTTTATCATTGAGAAAGAATTTGGGGAACAAAATAAAAAAAAATAAAAAAAAATAAAAAATGAAAAATAGGATTCAATATGAAATATAAAAAAGTATTCCTACTTCTATAAGAAAACGCTATATATATATACATATATATATATATATATATTTATATATATATTTATATATATATTATTATAATCTTAATAATAATAATAATCTTATTTCTTTTTCTCTCTTTCTTTCTCTCTTTTCATTATTTCACGAGTACGTCGTCGATTCGCCTTCAATCGAAAGTGTTCGTTTATTTCGTGGATCCGCCTAGCGAAACGCCGCGAAAGCAAGGTAGGGATAAGCTAGCGAAAATTCCGTGGGGGAGTGTAAGCGTCGAATTCGCTTTTCTCGCTGGCGCGGTTATGGGTCTGATAAAATGAAAAGAGGAATTATAAAAGTCCGCTGCGTATTCCTCAATGCCGAAACGCGGATCGTTTCCTATTGATCGGCCTTATCTCGTGCACCGATCCGTTCCGCGAATCTACATTTCACTTTTCGCGATATCGAGAAACGAACGAAGACCGAAAGACGAACGAAGAAGGTTGGAGAAGTAAGAGGAGAAGGATGAGAAGTAGAAACGAAATTTCGAGGAACCGCCGGTTATATCGACGAATTTCACTTGATTTCCGTACGAGTGATTCTCGATGGAATTTCACGGATGAATTTCGTTAGAATTTGAAAGCAAAGTTCGACGTTACCGTCAGGAACTATGAGACAGGAACTTCGATCTATCTCATAGAAACAGACATTATAACAATTTACGTCGAGATAATTAATATTTACTTTACCGTCTGGCTGTATGAATGGAAAAAGTTAACAGAAAAAAAAAAAAAAATATAATAAAAAAAAAGAATAAAAAAAAAAAAATAGAAAGAAAAAGAAAAATAAAAAAAAAAGAGAAATACGAAAAAGAAAAAGGAAGAGAAAAAAGGAACAGAAGAAAAAGAAGAGGATATAGAAAAAAAAAAAAGGGATAAAAAGCGTGGATGTCCACGTGAAATTTGGAGTGGAACGCGTAAGAGCGAATCCGCTTTTCTGCCGGATGCCGTGGAGAAGGAGGAAGAGAAGAACGATATCGGTGGTGGTGTCTGATGATGATGGTGGTGGTAGTAGTAGTAATAGTGGCGGTGATGGTGGTGGTGGTGGTGATGATGGTGGTGGTGGTGGTGGTGGTGGTGGTGGTGGTGGTGGTGGTGGTGGTGGTGGTGGTCGTCGTAAAATAAAGAAGAGAAGAAGGGCTACGATAAAGTCGTTCTCTTGGAGCCGCTTCTCGATATGACCGGTTGGTGGTAGTAGTAGCTCCTGCTTCCCGTGGAGCCGTGCTGTCACTGGCCCGACGTAATCTGTCCGTTCGTTCACGGCGACTCACAATGTGGCCCCCGAGATAACAAATAAAGCCCCATTGTCGCAATTGTGTGGATTTAAAAGGATTTGCGCTCCTCGTCCCGCGCTCTCCATCTCGTCTCGCCTCCACGCCCCCGCCCCCATCCCCCTTTCTCTTCCTCCTCTTTCCTCCTTCTGCCGCCTCTATGCTGCTGTTGCCCGTCCAACGATTCACCGTCTCTTTCTCTACCCCTCCTAGCTCCCCCCTAGCTCAGTACCTAGTCCCGCGATTCGTTCCTTCTCGACGCTCCTCTTTACGCTACCAAAAAGGATCTTATATCGTAGGTATATATACGCGTATATAGTTATACGTACGTATGTATTATGTAGATACGTACGCGTATGTATAAGTGTGTATGTATCTTGCAGTTGGAGCTATCAGTATCTCTCTCTCTCTCTCTCTTTCTCTCTCTCTCTTTCTCTCTCTATTTCACTCGGGATATCCACACACCTTCATATATCCTTTTTGCTTCGCATAATACGAGTTGTCATACAGACGGGACAGTGTTAAGAATTTTCCATCGACAGACTCACGATCTCATGTTGTTGAAAAGAATTAATATAATCGAGGTACGATTTTCGACGTGAAGAATTTGCCTGGGTAATCGAGGTATACCGAGTTTACTCACAATCAAAGACTAATTGATATTGTTTCTTGTTACGGCAGAAACCACAGGGTGAAGCTTATGTCGACCAGAATGATATAAAGCGTTGTTTATCGTCGCTGAAAGTCCCGATGCCGATGAAGAGGAAAGGGGTGTGGGAAGGGTGGTTGCGCGACTGCCCGGAGAATTGCCGTAGAATTGTAAAGATTACGCCCCGATGTTTATGCATTTATGCTGAATTATTGTCGGCGCGGCTTTACCGATGTTTATGCTGATTTACGCTTTGTGCTATCTGCCGGGACACATTGTCCCGGAATTATTATTCCGCCGCCTCTCTCCTGCATCCTCCGTCATTCTCTCGCGCAATTCGCGTCGGTAAAGCAACGACGAACTTTGAAATTTCAAATTTACTCGTTCGAACGGAAAATTTTGTTTTATTTGACGTAGAGGAAACAAAAAAAGAAAGAGAAGGAAAAATAATAACAATTCGATTCATCAGATAATATTCCCAACGATCGTCATTCATTTTTCAAAGGATTTACTCGTTTTTAACAGAGAACAGAGAGAGAGAGAGAGAGCAAGCTTTATTTCTATCTTTCTCTTTCTCTCTCTCTCTCTCTCTCCCTCTCTCTCTTTCTCTCTTTTTGCGTATCGCTTTCCCCCATTGTCCTCCTTCTTTTCGACGAAATTCCTCGCGAAGAAGCCGCGAAAAAAGTAGAAGCAAAAAAGAGAAGGAGGAAGCCCTTTCGGTACGAACACCTATCTCTCCTTCGCTTTCTTTTATCTCCACGGAACGGAGCATAAATAAGGACTGCGTTTGTGCGCCGCTTGGGTACATAATGGAGTATTATGTGATGGAGATACGAAGAAGGCCCTCTACGTTGATGCAAGCACAGGGTGTGTGTACAAGATATTTACTACAAATACTCGTGTCGGCCCTATCGCGTCTCGGCGTAACGATAATACGTCCCTTTATACGGATAACAGTCTCGAAAAGAAGAGAGAAGGAAAGGAAAAAGAAAAAAAAGAAGAAAAAAAAGAAAAAGAAAGAAAAGAAAAGAAAGTATTTTAAATTGATTTATCACAAATTTTCATTGATCTTTCCAACTTAAGTAATTATTCATTAATATGAAAATTATTCGAGAGGACGATCATCGTCCGTCGTGGTAGATCGACACGATTAGAATTACACTTTAATAAAGCTATATCGTTAATTAGATCATCCCTATAACGGGCCGGGCAAACTCCGTTATCTTAACTATGCCTGATTCGAAATCTGATTTAAGCATGATTAACATGTTGCGATAAAAAAAAATTAAAAAAAAAAAAACTTTAAAAAAATGATTAATATCATACATTTAATCATTGATTCTGATAATTTCGCTTACAAACAACATCTGTTTCAGAGCCCTACACATGAAAGAACACCCGGACTACAAATATCGACCACGACGGAAACCGAAGAATTTAGTGAAGAAAGAAAATAAATTCGGTTTTTCAATATCGCCATTGATGTCGCCTGGTGATACCCTCGGCAACATATCTCGTGGTCTTTTACCACCATTAGCACCACCTTCGCATCATCATCCTCTGATAGGTCACGACGATCTCAAGATACCTCGTTTCTTTCCGCCGTTTCCGTATCCCCTCTATCCGATTCAACACAAGTTGGGTGACGAATTGAACGGTGGTAAATTGGCTGCGGATTTGGCCTTCCAAGCACTATACGGTGGTAGTACGTTTTATTCGAGTCACCAAGCGGTATCCTGGCCAGGATTACCGGCGACGACGTGTCTCCAAGCTAATTGTGGTTGTCCTAGTCCACCGAAGGATCCAAAAAGGACGTATTTGCCGTCGAAGTTGGAGGAGAGACCCTTTTCCAGTCCGGGTAAACACGAGGACGAAACTTTTCCGATCGAGCGTGATACTACCATCGAAGAATCTCGTTACAGAAAGTTAGAGGACGAAGGATTAACCTCGACATTGGAAAGGCATCAAGAAGAAAGATCGAGAGATCGTTTCTCATCATCTTCTTCCTCATCGCCAACCGATCGACCAGAAAGGGTATCTAGTACGACATCGGCAACGACAACGAGTACGGTGACTAAAGTTGAAAGCGTATTCTCCGTACAAAATCTTACATCGCCTAGCACGAATTTGACGTCCCATAGAAGTCACGTCATATGAAGACCGCTGCCGGTTCTCCCGGATCTAAACTTCCGGGGGAACCTTCTACCAACCGGTTGGCCGACGGCAACCGATTGGTGGAGAATACCACCGATGCTTTCACCGATCCCACAAGCTAGTGTCGCTAATTTACCATCGGCTAACATAAAGGACGACGATGTTCACTTTCAGGAAGAACATCAGAGAAATTCTGTCGTCTCCAGAACGACTGGGAGGACTGGCTTGCACGTCGGTGCCGCGCAATGAAATTTTCTTGAGAAGTATCATTAGGTGGACGAGTCAAGTGCATTTACTGAAACGTGATAGAAATGCTTTCAGACTTCTTTTACTTTTCTTTTAACGTGTTTAAAGAATTTATGATAAATATCTAAAAGCAGTGATATTACGTAAACTTCATTTCTCCTACGTGTTGTTTGTTGTTTATCTCAGCTCTAATAAAAGCAAGAAATAATCGACGATTCTCGCTAAAGAACGTTATATCCAAGGTAAGATGGCCGAAATTATTCAAATTTCGTCGCGTTACTTAAACAATTGATTAAATAACGTGGAACGATGGAACGATGAAATTCGATACGTAATGTCGACGAAAGCCAGAGAATTATTATGTTAATTGAGACAATCCCAACATAGAGAAAAAGAAGAAAAAAAAAAAAAAGAAGAGGAGAGAAAAAAGAAAACAAAGAAAAAAGAAAGCGATGGCATCCACAACTACCTCAACCCTTCGCCCACCCTCTACCGATCGCCCGTTGAAAATTTCATGAAAAACATTTCCTTCTTTCAAAGCCATCTAGTGAGTTAGATAGTCGAAATCGATAACACCGCGTTACGAAAATCCCACAAAGAGATACGGTACTCCCTTCTGGGAGATACTCCGTACACGTTGGAAATACTAGAAGAGTCCGATTTTGATGAGACAACCAACCCTCTCATACCACATATTACCTACATACATGCGAATCGGGCGTGTCTTTGCCAACCCACGAAAAACAGAAAGAGAAAGGGAGAAAGGACGTAGGAGGGGTTGTATGCGAGATCGAGAGAGAAAGGATGGAAGATGGAAAGGGTGAGAGAGAGGGAGAAAGAGAGACAGAGAGGGGAAAAGGGAAATAGGGAGGGGGTAGGGATGGAGGAGAAAAAAACCTCTTCCAGTGGAGGCAAATCTCTTCTTTGGGATGCGGCCATGCGAAATAAGCCAAACGTTTTGAATGCTAACGTAGATGCGAGAACGGACCCGACACGTATGTGCTGTACGCGTTCACGGCTATTTTGTTGCGGTGGCGTTTTCGCGACGACGAAACGCATCGATACAACCCGCGAAATTATTCAGCGAAAACGTATGTATGTATGTATATATGTATGTATGTATGTATGTATGTATGTATGTATGTATGTATGTATGTATGTATGTATGTGTGTGTGTGTGTGTGTATGTATGTACCTACGTAAACGTTTCCGCGTACGCTTCACGGGAATATCGATCACGAGGAAGGTATTCGCGAATCACCCGTTGCGTATGTAATTACGTAAAATCGAATTTTCTTGTTGTTCGATGCCAAACGGAGTACCTATCGTTGTCCCCGTCTAGCCATTATTCCATTGTGTATATTTTATAGATTTTATTTTGTGACGATCGCGCATATATAGAATTTCTGGTGCTTACAAAAAAGAAAAAGGAAAAGAAGAAAAGAAGAAAAAAAAAAAAAAGAAATAAAAAGAAAGAAATAAGTAGAACTTTTCGAAGCGGATTTCATTTCCTTAAATCAAAATTTTCTTGTCAAAAATTTCTTTCAATGACGCGTCATACGATTAGATTTTCTAATCGTATTAATTCAATATAGGAAAGAATTAACGGCTATCGAAATAGTGCTGGCGCTAAATTGAACTTTCAATATAAATGAGAATTCATTCATTATTTTGTTGAATAGTAGTTATATTTACTTATCGTTTTCTTCGTGAAAAAATTGTTACGAAATCGTGCAATCAAATCCTTTTGTATTTTAGTATTATATTATCGTCTGTTAAATAGTTATTATTCAGTTAAGGGCCACGCGTTAATAAATTCCAAAGGGACACGCTAACGAATTTCAATAATACATTAGAATGACTCTGAAAAAGTCAAAGACGCATTTTACTTAAAGCGTTCCACAAAAGATGTAAAATAAGTATAATGTAAAACATATCTAATAAATAGAAACATATCTTTCGAGTACGTATGTAGCGCGTTCGTCTCTATGTAAAAGAAAAAGAAAAAAAAAAAAAGAAAAAAAACAAAAAAGAAAAAACTCCAAAAAAAAAGGAAGACAAAGCAAAAAAAAAAATCTCTCATGTACGATCCGTCGAATTTTTTCCATTAACTTAAATCCAACTGCGTTGTATTACACGCCGAGGTGAAATATAAAATAATCACTGTTAATTCATGCTGTAACATAATGCAATTTGTAAATAAAATCACGAATTAATTACTCGCACGATCGAATCAATTCAAAAATTATCTCCCCAGATTTGTGAAATGTTTTCGGATAAGTTGAATCAGAGGGAGGGGGGAGAAAAGAAAAAGAAAAATAATAATAATAATTATCATGAAAGAATGAAAAACGAAGACGTTTTTAGACAATTTTACGACGTTATCAGTGTTCGTTATCTTGATGAATAAATGGCGGTGCTAACATTCGTAGAATACAAAAGAAGAAGAGAAAAAAGAAAAAAGAAGAAAAAGGAAAAAAAAAAGAAAGGAAAAGAAAAAAAGAGAGCACCCTCGTCCTTCGAGTGTTCTTCGTTTTCAGCCTCGCACCACCGTTCACCAGATCGTGTTTTATTTCTGATAGCAACGCTTTCGTTTCTGCTCCGGTGTCGTCGACGCCACAAGGACATTATCGCCGGCACGAAGGACCCTTTCTTCCCCCATAAAGGCAATCACACTTTCTCCGCGCGGAGATAACAGCAGAATGGAAAAGCAAAGACGTTCTTGGCACACACCCCTCCTCCCTCCTCCTGACTCCTCCTCCGCCTCAATCTCGCCACGTTTTGCCACCCTACGCTAAATTTCGCGGCTTTTTCTTCTTCTATCGGGGAAAAGTGACTCTCTGCCTTCACGATAATAACCGTACAAAAGGAGGCACGGTAAGGAAGCGAATTCCTTTTTCTTTTTCCTTCTTCTTCTACTTCTATTACTACTTTCTTCGTCTTCTCCCTCTTCTTTCAACTCTTAACGAAAGTATTCGCGATTCTTCGTCGAGCACGAACGCCATTCGTTAAAGAGAAGTACTACACTTTTTCACTCATAATCTGATCGTAGTATTTATGCAGGTTGACTTTTCTCCATTCGCATAAGTATCTTTTTCCATCTTTTCATAGATAGACTCTCTTATTTAAAATTTACATTATGAACGATGGTGCGTACTCGTAAGAGTTTCGAACAAAGTTGAAAAAAGATTTTTAAAGAGGGTGGATAGAAAGCAGAGAGAGAGAGAGAGAGAGAGAGAGAGAAAGATAGGGGTAGGAGATAGGAAGAGATGGGATAGAGAGAAGGGTGACAACTGCTAGCTTGGACAGAGAAATCTAGGAGGCTCTCTCCATTAGTATTCGCGGAAGTGCTCCTCGCCCGATTGTGGAAGGTATTGTCGAGGAAGAATGTCCTCGTTGTCGAGCTCCCCTTGCCCCCGCAGAGATGGCAACGCAGAAGAACCAAGCAGAAAGTGGAGGGGCAACGGGGAACGGGAAAGAGATAGAGAGCCAATGTTACGGTAAGGAGTCACGAGTCCAACTAAAATGTAATCACTTTTGAAGATAGGAATTCGTACGTTCTCGACAATGTCAATCGCGATTTTTCCAGGAACAGTTTTATTTCTTCTGACGTATCACCAACAAGTAGTTGGTTCAGTTTTGTTTCTGACGTTGAAAAGAAGAAGAAAAAGATCTATCGAGTAAAAAGTTTCAATCGGTGATAGAGAGACAGAGAAAAAGAGAGAGAGAGAGAAAACGTTTCGATGCAAGCAGATATTTTAATAGCATCGTTCGCCGTTTTTACTAAGAGGAGAAGGGGGTAGTTCTGTTAGTAGTGGTAGCGATGATGAAGAAAAGAGATCCTGGATACTGTTCTCGATTTTACACAGACTCACGGCGACAGAGATGAATGAAAAGGAAAAGAAAAAGAGAGAAAAAAAGAGAAAAAGAGAAAGAGAAAGAGAGAGAGAGAGAGAGAGAGAGAGAGAGAGAGAGAGAGAGAGACAGAAAGAGAGAGAGAGAGAGAGAGAGGACGCACGGCACGATCGTTTGATTGCGGAAAATGACGGGCGGTGGTGCGAGTGGAAGTTTTGAGTGGGCGTCGGTCCTGCAGACAATGAGGCATTCAGGCCGGTCATTGTCAGGCCGACAACTGCGTTACAGTAGACAAACCCGAAATCACCGGCGCTATCGCCGTCCCAGATCCGATTATGCGAATAATAAAAAGCGTAGCAGGGGACGTAGAGGAGGAGAGGGAGGGGGGAAAGAGAAAGAGAGAGTGAGTGAGAAGTGATGAGGGGAAAGGAGAACACGGGGCTACCAAAGGATAGTGGATTCGACAATAACGCCGATGGTGTGCACGGTACTTCGAAGTTGCACCTATGCCAACGCGTTCCCCACTGATATTTAGCTTTCGTAGTTTTTCTGAAATAACGATACTCTCTCTCTCTCTCTCTCTCTCTCTCTCTCTCTCTCTCGCTCTCTCTTCTCGAGCAATCTTTCTCTATGAATCGCTTGGAAACGATGATAAATTTAATATTGTAATGGTATCGTTCTATTCAAGTAATTTATTCTATCCACGAACTATGAATGAAGTTTAGAATACTAATTGGAGAATACAAAGTTATTTATCTCTAACAGAGAAAAAAAAAGGTCAATTCTTTAAAGATTTAGAGAACAATAAAGACCGAGAGTAAAGGTCGACTGTAATTATTCAAAAATATAAATACATAATGCGTGTAGATATATATCTTAACAAAGACAATAGAAACAGGTAAATACAGATATGAATATGAATGGGACATCTTGGAGACCGATCTACCAAGAGTTTGCCTCTTCGACTTCGATAATGTCGATCGTTATCGACTTAATGCGGGTTATTATACCTGTCGATAAGACCGGATCGTTGTTCAAAGAACAGTCGAGGTAGAGCACAATTATGCGTTGAACTAGGGTCCTCAAGTCCGACAAAGTTGGAGAACTTGCTTAATTAGAAACGGTAGTCAGAAGCTGCCTTGCATTGTCCGGTTCTGTTGACTTCCGGCCACCCTTCACTCTCTCTCTCTCTCTCTCTCTCTCTCTCTCTCTCTTTCTCTTTCTCTCTCTCGTTCGTTCCCTCGCTCGCTCTTTCTCATCCCTCCTTACGACCCTGAGAGAACGCGGCCGAGTGCTGATTGTTTCATTGTTTCCCAACCCCACTGTCAAATGCCAACACATTGAATGGAAGTTATTGTTGTTTCAGGCCGCGTGGTAGACAAGGCTTTTCAGGAGAGTCCGATAGTCCTACCACTAAATGCCATTCCATGAACGAGGTGTCGACCTCGAAAGACGACGGCGAAACGAGCGCTTTTCGTCTTGCTATTTCACAGGAACGTTGTTACGGTGGTTCCCGTGGTAAACATTCAATGTAGACATACAGGAATTTTCAAAAACGATCATGTTACAGATAATTATATTCGGCCATTCTCAAACTTTCCTGAATGTTACTATATGAATGAATTTAATTCGATTTATAGACTAACAAAATATAATATATATTTTTAAGGATGTTACATTGCAACACGATAGATAGAAAATATTATAGCAACAAGGGTGCCGAGACCTTTCCCTTTATCTCGATATTTTTCATCGACTCGAGACGATAACTCGGGAGACTCGGCTAACTCCTCTCCCTTGGTAGTATACGGTCCACAACGAAAACTAGTAAAATACTAGCCGAGCAACATTTCACGAACGAACCGCAGCGTGACCGCCGCGAACGATAGGATCGTCGCATTTCCCGTGGACGCTCATATATAAGGTAAACTTATGTCAAACGTAAATTCCCCTTGGACTATCTTATCGCTAGTACGGTTTGCATGCTACCGATAGAGACCATGGCCAGACATTATGCGAAATTGAAAAACCGAAAGAGCCAACGCCACGTTTCCCGATCGATGAACTTCCGGTCAGTAGGATCGACGATCTTAAAGACCGGAAGATCTATCTCGATGGCACGTCGTCATAAGTTCACTGAAGAAATCTCATAAAGATCCTCAATGTTTTATCCCATTTTAGTCGCACGATTCTATAAAATTGAATCCTTTTGTTTATTTAAACATTTTAATATGTTAATTCTCTATTTCTCTTATTGAAAATCTCACGAGGAGAAAAGATCTTTCCCCTAAGCTATCTCGAAAAGAAGATTCTCGACCTTTTAAAGAAATAAGTTCAAAGAATCGTGGCAAAGGGAGGAAGGCGAAAAAATAGGGAGGAAGGACCATTCCGAGGACACTTCATCACGATTTAACGTCATAAAAGTCGAATAAGGCCCGGTGCTCGTAATGCCCCGACACCTTCTCGCAAGGATTGGAAACAAAATGTCGTAAAATATCAAAACGGTGCGCGACGGTAACATCGACTTTCTCTCCTTTTCCCTTTTTTTTCTTCCATTTTTTTTTTTTGCATCCACCCTGAACTCGATGACTCGAAGTACCACCTAGGACGTATATAAAATCGAGTATGGTAGAAAGGCGAGAGAAGTGGGCTGAGGTGGAGAATGGAGGTGGGGGTAGGCGAGACGGTAAATATAAATAAAAATGGAAAGCCGGCCATAATGGCCGGTAGAAAAGCATGACGCATACCCCAATCCATGGCTGTTTCAAATTGATATTTCGAAAGTGCTACCATGATCGTCGCACGTTCGAAAGTATCGCTTCGTAGTCCTTTTCTCTCTCTCTCTCTCTTTCTCTCTCTCTCTTTCTTTTTCTCTATCTATCTATCTATCTATCTATCTATCTATCTATCTTTCTTTCTTTCTTTCTTTCTTTCTTATCATCCGCTTCCGCCGTTTTCTTTTCACATTTCTCTCTTTCTCTCTCTCTCTCTCTCTCTCTCTCTCTCTCTCTCTCTCTCTCTCTTTCTCCTTCTCTCGATGTCATCGC